TTTGTTTATGCTACATTGGGGACCAAATGTCCCCACAAGGATAGTAAAACCTGACATTTTTGACATGGGGAAAAAAAATATAAAAAATAGTAAATGATGTTTATCTGAAAGTGTAAGAATGCAAACAGGTTTTCTGTAAGGGGTAGGTTTAGGGTTAGGGTTCGGTTAGAGGATAAAAAATAACGTTTGGTCAGTATAAAAGTAATAGAAGTCTATGGAAAGTCCCCACAATTCACAGAAACAAACGTGTGTGTGTGTGTGTGTGTGTGTGTGTGTTATGCAATGGAAGCTTTTTCTGTGAGGATGGGATTGTTCACTGTAGGATTATAATACAAAACATCAACTAAAAATGTATATATATATGAAGTGGAAAAACTACAGAAATTAATTGTATTTGATATATATATATATTTTTAAATGTGTTATAGAAAGGTTTGTTAGGCAAAGCGATTTATTTCTAGATATTGCTGTCTAACTCTATTACTGTTTCCATTATTGTTTTTTTTAATTTATTTTTTTACTGTTTTTCCTTGATTTATTTACTGAAACTGCTTGAAAGATCATATCACCTAGCCATTAGCAATTAATTTTTAATATCACCTTCTACTCTTAAGTGTCATGCAGAAGAGAAATGACAATAAACTGTGTTTTGTTATCCCTACCAGTAGAGGGCGCTATAGGATTCATAGTCTTGCTGCAACACTGCAGCGCTTCAGACGAAACTCAGCATGTAAATGAATGACGAACTGCTTGTTTGCCTTTCTGAGTGGCTTTTATTATATGTGTTTTTTTTATGAGCGAAGGCTGATGGGGTTTATAGGGTAATCAGACAAATCGCCACAAATGTAATACATGCATTAGCAATTTGCTCTGAGTGCATCATTTATAGCCTACAGATCAGTAACAAACCTCATTGATAAATGATATTTCTTTTCTGCACACACACACAGGGGGGAATGGCTTACACATGGGGCCTGTAATACAGGCTTTGTTTGTGCATCCACTCTGCGTCTGGTAGTCATTTTATCTGATAAGCATTTGAGCAACGCAGAAAACATCAGAGCTGAATTTCTTCCTTCCTTCACTTTTTTCCTCTTCAGCAGATGTTAGTGTTTTGGAGGTCTGTCTAGTTTTCCAATGCATGCTTGTTTGCATATTTCCCTTTTTGTCACATCTTTCAACAGAATGCTGTGAAACTTTGCTCATGGTGCAAGCTAATTTTGGAGTCTCCTGAAGCATCTAATTTGCATTGTAAATTCCCTCTCTGCTCTATGTAAATGATTGCATGTCATCATTAATAAAAAGGGCATTAGTGACATCTCATGGTGTACAAAGCAAACATGACAGGCATAAGAAACATGCATATTTATTTTTGCACTCAGGACACATTAAATAAAAACTACAAAGGTACTTATACAAAAGATAGATTATATCCCATTTTACATCCAAAATAAGAATAATTTATGGCATAAATTAAAATTCTCACTATTTTATTTACAATTAAATGAAAACAACATCTTTTTGTATAATCCCTGCAAGCACCCTTTCCCAAAACTGGAGGGATTCCTATCTTGGTTTCTCAGAAGGAAAGCCCACTCACATTGTGATAGACCACAGACGGATATGACACTTTTTTCCACTGGTAAAAGTGCTATGGCATTCGAGCTTTGCCATCTAAATGGACGCCTGGTTTCTGCATTATTCACCAGCCTTTCCAGACGAATATGACCTTGTTAGATTTAACCTGTCACTTTGGGGTTGTCTCTCTCTCTGTGACCGGTGACACTTTAGTATGCATGGGCAGCCGCGGGCACTGCAGAGCTAAGGGTATGACGAAGTATGCAATAATTAACAGACTGCAGACCAAAATACAGCATCAGGTCAGACAAGTATGTTTGGATTGAGGAAAAACCAGATATTTGCGCTTGAATTGGATGGGCGGCTTGCTTAACTGAGGCTTTTTTACAGATTTGTTTTGTTATCCAATATATTGATTTTCAAAAGATGCAATCTGAGATATAAAAAATGCTTTTGGTTGTGCATAAAACATTACACAGGATAAGTACTTCGGTAATAAAGTGCATAATGAAGTGACTGTTAAATCATTTTTGACAGTAAGTGTGGCATTATTGACGTACCCACAAACATGATCACCCATGTGAATGTTCTCAAAAGGATTTTTAAATGAAGGCCTTTTACAATATTACTAAAAACTTACATGAAGTACTACACACAGAACTAAATATAACACTGCTGACCTGTGACTGATGGCTGTGCAAGTGCTGTGAACTGCAAGCTACATGTTGTGACACTCAACAGGATAGTTGAAAAAAAAAAAAAAAATGAAATTTCTGTCATCATTTACTCACTTTTTTGTCCATACAATAAAGGTGTTTTGGGCAAAATGGGCCTCATTCATGAAACATTCATAAATATCAGTGTAAATTCGGAGTACAGTAATTTGCATGTAAAATGGACATTCCCATAAACTCAGAAATGCACTGTAAACCTCAGATCAACTCTGAATCGATTGAACCAATTGCTTCATAAAATGATTCACTTTTTTTGAAGTGCTCGAAACACCAAAATCTGGTGACGCCTGCTGGTGTAAATGTAGCAAAACCTCAGCTCAAACATGTAAAAAAGCATTTTACAAACCAAAAATGGCCAAAAGTGTCTGCATAATGCTGATTTTATTCATTTTCAGGACTTGTTTTGTTTGTTTTATGGAGAGCTTGGTTAATCAGGCCAATAAGAGACTAATAACTACAACTCTACCTTTGTATTATACGAATGTCATTAAAATTTGGTAACACTTTACTTAAAGCCTTTATGTATAATGCATAAAAATAGTTTTAATGCACTAAGTATGGCTTGTAATGCACCTTAATGCACTGTACAATCTCAAGAATAATTGTAACCACAGTTAATACATTATAACACTTATCAATTCATTGTTACACTATGCATTTTAAATTCGGTTATGATTATTTACGACAAGATGTAATGTATTACAACGCACATTATGAATAATTATAATACAATATACCCGTTAATAACCCTTTATAATGCATTATACATAAAGTCTTTCAATAAAGTGTTACTAAAAATGTCTACAAAAATCGATGTGTGTTCAGGTGAACCAATGAAATTTAGAAACATTTTGAAACAGTTATGATGTACTTATGTTTTAACTTTTTTTAATTGTGATTTTTAATTGAATAAATGTTATTTTTAATAATTTACAAATTATTCCGTAAAAGTCTTCAGCTTGTGGACAAATACTACTGGTTCTCAGAATAATCGATAATAAACTGGAAACTAATGTTAACTTTTTGATGTTAGGTTTTTTTATATTAATTAACATTTTGAAAATACAAACACTTTTGGGAATGCGTCAGAATGGTTTTATGAGGAGTTCTGTGCTCCTCAACAACAGGTGACCTACATTAGAGGTTAAAAAGCGAGCGAAACTGAATGGTATCTCTCCTCCACAGGGGCTGGTTGGGTACCGTGGCGTTATTTTGGTTACGTAAGTGGTTTTGTTTTTCAGTGCGCTCAGGCTGATCGCTTCTGTGAAAGCACCTAGAGAAACGACTATCCATTTTACAGCAATGGTCACTTGTTCGTTTTGGTCTGTGGCAACAGAAGCATCCCAGTGCTCTTTTGTTAATCAAATCGCTTGGTGCATATATGCACCTGTCACATGATTTGTGATTGGTTAGGATGCAAATTGAGAGTACGCGCGTCGGCTAGCGTCGAGCTCTTTTTGCGCAGTTTCTTACCAACAAGTGACCGGCACGTGTAAGCTGGGCCCTGCGCTGGTCGTTTGAACTGAATTAGGCATGAATCGGATCCAGCAGCAGAAAACCAGCATTGTGTACAGTGTGTGCATCCTTTAGGGGCTAAAGCAGCCGTAGAGGTCAGAGGCGGTGAGGTTAGTTTCCCACAAGAGGGCTGAGGTCTCCATGGTGGTTCTTGAGTTTCTTCTTAAACAGAGAGATGGTGGAAGGTCTGTAGAAGATGATCCAGGGTTCAGACGTGGTGCTCTGCGCGCACGAATCCGACCCGCTGATTGACGGGATGGACGGGGATCTGAGAGGGAAGACAGATACAAAAAGCAGATAAGGACCGAGAGCGGAGAAGCTGATTCAAATCAAACTTGTATGCATGCTACAATACGCCCGGTAAAACCAAATGATGGACGCTATAAATCTGCCAACGGCGTACAGATAAAGTAGCAAATCAAAGCGTGGCTCTCCTTTACCTGCAATAAAGCCTGCTATCCCTGCTTAAAAAAAACAATAGAAACCATCACAGAACATTCTAATGGTTTCCACTACAAATACTATTACAAACCATCAACTTTTAACCATTAAAACCATTAAAAATGGTTTTCTGTAGTGTGTTTTGGGACATATTCCATTAGGATTTAGTGGTTTTAACAAGCCACCAATAGAAGGCGACCAATTACCAGTAGAGACCAACAAGGTCCATTACAGTTTCCAGTAAAACCAATGCAAGTCCCATTATAACCAGCAAAACCATTACAAATTTTGTGATGGTGTCTATTGTTTTTTCAGCAGGGATGGGGAGGATGAGTTAGTTAAAACAATCAGCATCATCATAATTCTTCATCTGATGCTTTATATGAGCATCTCAAAACTGAAGAACAAAAAACTTTCATTTTATAGCATATGTACTTACTTTACAGTAAGATGCAGGAGCAGCTTAGCCACCATGGCTATGACTGTTAGCGTTAGCAGAGCAGCTAATGCGTAGATGGTCCACACTGTAAAACACAACACGTTTATTAGTGACAGTAAAGCTAATGCAGCCTCATCATTACAGCTGTACTGAAATCTTAAGGTTATGACTAGCAAGAACTCGAGTAACTAGTGTAAAGAGCGGATAGTTATGGAAACGCAAAACACAGAGCTAAAGTAAGCTCAAATTTAAAAGCTAACTAACAGTGGTGGATAATGCACTGTCAGAAAAAAGGAACAAAGGGTTTTCAAAAGGTGCAGCTTTGCACCTAAAGGGTCCATATTGGTTCCTTTGGGTCTCACAAAAAAAATAAATAAATAAATGGGTCACTGGGATGAAAAGGAAAATGTGTGTATATGTATGTTACAAAGTTCAAGACTCATTAAAGAAGGAGGCAGGAACTGGCAAACATGATTTTAATAACAAAATAAACAATAAAACTAAAGTCGGAGCATGCCGCTAAAGTCGGTTCTTGGCAATATAAAATGAAGCAACATTGTGAATATTGTTATGATTTTAGTGCACTGTATAGTTGGCCATTAAGACTGTTTTATTAGACTAAGTTTAGTGATTTTTAATATTCAACATTATTTCTGATTTAAGCTTTAATAGCAAAAAAGTTTTCAGAATTTGCCCTGTGGCATACATTTTTAAATCGTAAATTAATCTTTTAAAGATGAATAGAAAGTTCAAACAATCAGCATTCAATTCAAACAGAATTTTCTTCGTGTAAAATTCTTCCCCATAATTCTTCCTTCCTTGAATTGATTTTTAACTAGAACTATACTTTTTTTTTAGTTCTTAAATTAAAATAATTACAATATACGTGGCAACAGATTTCTGAGCATATATAAAAAGATGTGCATTGAATATAAAAATGTCCATTTTAGGCATTTCGCCAGAAAGTATGGTTACAACAGTGAACTTTAGTAACAGTAAATCACCCTTTTTGTTCTACCCGGTCTCATGGCAAAAACGTACCTGGGGGCACTTTTTCGCGAGACGCGATATACGTACCAATAAGTACATATCACTGCAGTTTCCAAAAGAAATGAACACTAGAGGCAGTAAAACTCCGACACCTTTTAAATTATTTTCACACAAAGTATGATTTACAGAGTTTCGATTAATAAAGCGTAATTTTCGCACAATTACTTGAAGAATATCATGTTATGACTTCAAAACAATTTTAACATGCTGGGAGATTTGAAAACTGATGCTTTTGAACGTTAGCACCGCACACTATCGGGTAGGTTTAGGGTTGGGTTTGGTGTAGGGCATATTTCCACCATGATAGAGCATTAACTTTTAGCGACAGTCTGATATTTGAATTCTGAACCGCCGCAATACGTACCTGAAGCAACGTAATAACAACACAGCAATACGTATCTATGTCAATGTAATAAAAACGTGCCAGGGTTGACGTATTGAACCCGTGTTTTAGCGCCACTCAGTGGACATTTCTCTTTGAAACTGCGGCGAAACGTACAATAAGGTACGTAAAAACGGTGTTGCAGAAAAGTACCCAGAGGTACGTATTTTTGTGAGACTGGGTTGTTTTTGTTTTATAATAAGTTGACTAGACTATGACTAGTATGAATGATATCTAGTAAACTGATATTGAGTATGAGAAAGAAGTGAGAGGAGCAGAACTGAAGCGTAATGAAGAAAACTGGACACATACTGGTTCTGTGGCCCGCGGTCCGGCCCGGTTCATGCCACTGACCTGGCATCTTTGCAGGACTTGATGTGATTACATAGTACCGGAGGGAGGATTTTCCATTCTGACTGGTATTTGATTTTGCTGTAGTGCTTCCCGTATGCGGCTGCACTGTACTGGTGTCCTCTTCATCACCATCGTCATCCTCCTCCAGAGGTGTGACGGCTTGATTTCTTAAAGCTGTGGGGAAATAATCAGCTAATGAAACACAAACAAAACCCCCAAAACTCCTTGATGAGATACGTATCATCTGATTAACATTCATAACGTCTCTTTTGTCGCCCCGCTGGATATCACAAAGAGAGAGATCTCAGCTCTTTCAAAATAACATCACGTCTTTCATTCAGCGTTGCAGGCGCGGATATAAACGCAGTATGTGGCGTCTAAATCAAACTCTGCCTGCAGGGGAAAAAGGTTCTGCCAATTTGCTTTGCTGACCTTTTCTTTCAAAAAAAAAACCTTTTTCCATTTCATCCTTCCCACTCCCTTTTATTCTTCCTCAGATTGTGGTTATTAAACTCTGCCTCCCAAAACAACACAACACAAAGTGGCAGCGTGTCTGAAAATTGTTTAGATATGACAAAAAGCACCCCTAAAGCACTGCTTTTATTTATTTGTATGACTATTTTTTGACTATTTTATTCTAAAGTCATAAAAAAAAAAACTGACTGTGTTTGGTGTCATCACTTCTGATGTTGTTTTTAAGGCATCTGTATGCTAGCGTTGTTGCAATAGTCAACAAAACACTTTACTTAAAGCCTTTATGTATAATGCATTAAAAAGGGTCATTTATGGGTATGATGCATTATAATTATTCATCTTGTCGTAAATAATTATAACTGAATTTAAAATGCATAGTGTAACTATGAATTTATAAGTGTTATAATGTATTAACTGTGGTTACAATTATTCATGAGATTGTATAATGCATTATAAGGTGCATTACAAGCCATATTCAGTGCATTAAAACTACTTTTATTATGCATTATACTGTACATAAAGGCTTTAAGTAATGAGTAAATGCTCAGCAAGTATAAGAAACTGTCATTTTATATGAATTAATTTGATTAAACAGAAAGCAAAAATAGCAATATTGTAAGGAAGTATTTAGAAATAACTAAATTAGTTTTAAACAGAAAATAACTGTTTTCTATTTTAATATATTTAAAAAATGGAAAGGCTGGATTGTCAAGCATCATTACTCCAGACTTCGGTCTCACATGATTCTTCAGAAATAATTCTAATATGCTGATTTGCTGCACAAGAATAAAAAAATCAGTTTAATGCATCCTTGCTGAATAAATGTATTAATTACCAAAAAAAAAAAAAAATCTGCAGGGACATGACCATACTGTATATAAGCAGACAGTCAAATGTTAACTCAAAAGAAAGCCTCACCATGATAAAGAACAGAAAATCCTTGCGCCTCATTTGTCCTGTCTGAGTAAAAATACAAAATGACGAAGTCTGCAGTGATGTTCACGATGTCCCGCGGTGGATTGCGGCCATCAAATCGCGCCAACACCTGATTGGAGTAGCCATCCAACAGCTCCACCATATCAGTCTGATCCACGATATTGAAGAAAGTAAAGTTGAACAGAAAGACAGAAGCACCTGGAACCTGGAAGAGCGACATGACAAAGATGAGATACACATGATATGAGTTTTGGCTCAGGCAAGCTCTCTCTCCATTAGGATATTAAAGCATTAATTGTACCTGAATGGTCCAGTAGCAGACCCTGCCAGGTTTGTATTTGTCCGGGAAATCAGGAGAGTAGATCACTCCGGAGGGCGATGTGAAGTTTCCCCCACAAGCGCCTACTTTTGCTTTGGGAGAAAAGTGACAGCTTTAGCTTTTACTAAATAATGAAAGGAAGAGGGTAAATGACAGGGTTTTGTTTAACAACCTAGAACTAGATTTGTGAGGATGAGACGATCATCAGCATCCTTAACTTTCCTTTGCACAGATAATAAGACTATAAAAACGTACTGTCGAAGACTATGACGCGTCCATCGCCTCCACATGGCTGAGTGTGATCTCCAAAACACACATGGTTACACTCTGTGCTCGGAGCGTCACCGTGACGATGATAATCAATGTCGTTGCCACAGAAACAAGCATAGCCTGATTCCATACCGGCAAGCTGAAAGAAAAGAATCCACAAATAATCAGGAACTCATAATTCTCTCCAGCCAGAGCAATCCAACGGTGCAAAAAAGCAAGCCAAATACAATATATAGTATTGATTTCTTCCCACGCAAACAGATGCACATGATTACATCTAGAAAAAATATTGATTCTTTTGTATTGAGTGTGAAAAAATAGATTGAGTGCACTGAAAAAGTTATACTACATTTTTTTTAAGGTAAGTGGCTGCAAACAATTTATTTTAGCTACATTTAATAAAAAAAATATGTTGAAAGTTAGTCAACTAAATGTGTTTATTTAAATGTAGCTAAAATAAATTGATTGCAGCCACTTACCTTAAAAAATTTAGTAAATTCAATGAATAATTTTTTTCAGTCAGAACAAAAATCACTATTCCAGGGAAAAGGTTATTTTTAAGCGTGTATATTAATACACTTTTTTTTAAATATTTAATATTTATTATTTTGAATCAGTTTTTATATTTTCTACTTCCCTTTTATTTTTAGTTAAAGCTTTTGTCATTTTTAAAGGGCTACACTGCAAAAATGGACATCAACTTGACATAGTCACCACTGATAAGCTACTACAAAATATAATGTAGAAACTTTCAAATAGAAACTTACATTTTCTCTAAAGCTGCTTTGCAATGATTTGTATCGTGAAAAGCGCTATACAAATAAACTTGAATTGAATTATTATAAATATATTATAATATTATATTATAAATTAGTATTTTTGTTTTTGTTTTCTACTTATAAATATCTAAAAAAAAATTGAATCAAGGTGCATTATTTTACAAGTAAAATGACTTATATTATGTATACAATATATCTTGTTTTCTGAAAAAAATTATAACAATTTTGTTAGTTTTTGCTTAAAACAAGCAAAAATATCTGCCAATTGGGCAAGAAAAATATTCTTGTTTAGCCTTTGAATTAATATTATTTTTCTTACCCCATTGGCAGATATTTTTGCTTGTTTAAGCAAATATCGTATATATCGTATACATCTTAAGTCATTTTACTAATCAAGTGAATGCTTCTTGATTCAAAAATGTTTAGATATTTATACTAGAAACCAAGACAAAAATAGGAAGAAAAACATTTTGTTGCAGTGTAGTTCACCCAAAAATGAAAATCCTGTTATCATTTACTCACCCTCAAATTGTTTCAACCCTGTATAAGTGTATTTCTTCTGCTGAACACAAAAGAAGACATTTTGGGAAAAAAAAATGTTGATGGTCCCAATTGACAACCATAGTATTTTTTCCCATACTATGGAAGTCAGTAGGGACCATCAACTGCTTGGTTCCCCATATTCTTCAAAATATCTTCTTCTGAGTTCAACAGAAAAAAGAAACTCATGCAGCTATCATGCAACTATCTCTTTAAGTTTGTATAAATTTAGACCTTGCGCAAAATATAATTTCTGTTTGTGAGATTCCCACATAATGAGTTATGAAATAAATCATTTTAGCTATAAACTTTGATTGGATGAGTTGCATTTAAAACTTTTGTGAAGTAACTAATAAAAGTACATACAGGTGCATCTCAATAAATTATTCTTCAAAATATCTTCTTCTGAGTTCAACTGAAAAAAGAAACTCATGCAGCTATCATGCAACTATCTCTTTAAGTTTGTATAAATTTAGACCTTGCGCAAAATATAATTTCTTGTCTTTTGTTTTTTGGGATAAAATATGTCTGTTTGTGAGATTCCCACATAATGAGTTATAAAATAAATAATTTTAGCTATAAAATCTGATTGGATGAGTTGCATTTAAAACTTTTGTGAAGTAACTAATAAAAGTACATATGTAACCAAGCATAAATTTAATTCTATATTGGTAAGACTTTATTTTACGGTGTCCTTGTTACACGTATTGGAGCCAACTCAGGCCACACACACACACACACACACACATGCTGCCTCTCTGCGTCTGTGTAGAAGTGTTTACTGAAGTATTTGATGCTGTTTGATGAACAGTGAAATTCTAGCAGGAAAAATTCAATAATCAAGTTCACACAGTCAAAACACAAACACAGATTAACTACTATGACAGATCATGACGGTGAAGCTCATCTCCATATAAACATAAACATTGAAATGTTCTCTCAAAATCTGTTAGTTACACTGCAAAAAAAAAAAGATTTTCTTACTTAGAATTTTTGTTTTGTTTTCAAATATCTAAAAATTCTTGAATCAAGGTGCATTTACTTTACAAGTAAAATGACTTAAGATATTATGTCTTGTTTTCTGAAACAAATATCAAAATTTTGTTCGTTTTTGCTTACAACAAGCAAAAATATCTGCCAATGGGGTAAGAAAAATTATCTTAATTCAAAGGCTAAACAAGAATATATTTCTTGCCCCATTGGCAGATTTTTACATTTTTATTTTTTTGCTTGTTTTAAGCAAAAACGAACAAAATTTTGATATTTGTCATTTGATAAAGCCATTTTACTTGTCATGTAAATGCATCTTGATTAAAAAAATGTTTAGATAGTTATACTAGAAAACAAGACAAAAATACTAAGGAAGAAAATCTTTTTTGCAGTGTACAATTCCTTGATACAAAACACATGGCCATTTTACACCTTTAAAATGAAAAAGGCTGTTGTCGCTACTGTACTGTACCTTTAAGAAATATTTCTACATACACACGCACTACCGTTTTTGGGGTCGGTAAGATTTTTACATGTCGTTGAAAGAAGTATTTTATGCTCATCATGGCTGCATTTATCAACAATACCGTAAAAACAGTAAAATTGTGACAATAATATCTGGGTGAGTATATCTATATTTTAAAATGTAATTTATTCCTGTGATGGTAAAGCAGCCATTACTCCAGTCTTCAGTGTCACATGAAGAAATATTTTCGTAAAAGCTTTACTTAAAGCCTTTATGTATAATGCATTATAAAAGTAGTTTTAATGCATTAAGTATATGCACCTTATAATGCATCTCATGAATAATTGTAACCACAGTTAATACATTATAACTCTTATCACATATTTATAATGCATTATACCCTTTAATAACCCTTTATAATGCATTATACATAAAGGCTTTAAGTAAAGTGCTACCAATATTTCTTACTATTATCAATGCTGAAAAAAGCTGCATCATATTTTTGAGGAAACCATGATACATTTTTTTCTTTTTTTAGGATTCTTTGATGAATAGAAAGTTCAAAAGAACAGCATTTATTTGAAAAGGAAATCTCTGCTAACATTCAGTTGCATATGAATGTGCTTATTAATGCCGCTGTGATGTCAATACCATGAAATATTCTCAATTATTCATTTTTGCAGCTTAGTTTTCATAAGACGTCTGGGTGGATTAGGGAGGGAGTTTTGCGTCACGCTCAGTAGCTCCGCCCTCAGTCCGAAATAATCCAGCTCGACATTTGTTCTGATTGGCTGATTGTACTACATAGTACAAAATGTGCAAAATTTGTCTCTTATTTCAAAAGAGTAAAGAAAATTTGTGTTCCTTTATACGTAAACATTTTATTCAAAATGTTGGAGAGTTCAACAGACAAAGACTGTGCTGCTTGTCCAAACACAGACATGTACAATATAATCCACAGTCTGCTCCTCTCATTAATCAGAGTGTAAAAAACCAGCACAATAAACTACAGTGCAGTGCATTCCTCCCCCTCGTAAATCTGCAACAATGTCCACATGAGCCGTGTCGAGTCAAACACGGGCCTGTTCTAGTGGACTGGATCCGAAGATGATCCATCGCTGCCAGCCAGGAATTTGTGGGTGGAAATTAAATGGAAGACTGCATGTAATTATGATGGTTAGATAGAGGACAAAAGCCTTAATTACACTGATATGCTTTTTACAGAGAACAGAATCTAATTTTTCACTCTCGGAAAGAGAGAATTTCTCTTGGCCGTTCCTTCAATGGCAATAGCTCTGAACTCGAAAGCAGGACATTCTGCTCATGCAAGATTAAAGAGCGCAGGTCTTCTGCCTCTGACAGAGCGATTGCACTGCACCATCAATTTATCTGTCCTTAACCTCTCATCACGCACACGGTTTGCTTCCCCCTGCACAAAAAAGGGCTCATCTCTTTCACCAACACAGCTGCTGTTTTTTAGGCGACGCCATGTTTCTTTAGTTAACTTGTACCTCAGAAAACTTCAAAAGAGAACTGTAGTAAAGACGTGCCGAACAAGGGTAACAACTGCACGTATACATGCTTTAAAAGTAATGCAATTGACTTCAAATATCAAAATAAAAGCTCATATTAAATATAAATACATACTTTAATAGGATATAGAAAAATACACAAATAAGAGAGAGACAGAGAGAGGGAGGTGGAAAAGAGAGTAAAAAAGAAGAAAAAATAACATTTTAATTATTCAGCAGAAAAAAGCTGATATTCATTACCTCAAATTCTGTAGGCCACTGAAGTATCAAATCAATTAATGCAACCACAATGAGAGTTTTTACATGTGAAGGAAATACAGTATTTCTTTTAACCAAATCTCATTCACAAATTCCATTTTCGGTAGATTTGATGCATAAAGTAATTAACAGCAATAAATCATAAACGTGTTGAAGTGTAAGCACACGTGGCACGTAGTTTATCGATATCTTTCCATTTCAAGCCCAGATCCTTCATCACAAGGCCACCAGCTTTCTGCTTTTCCCAATAACCCTCTTCTGAAGAGTCTTCAAAAACTCTAGAGCGCCAGTAAATTCCACCGATATTCTCTTAAGCGCTCTAGGAGCGGCGATATTGTTCGGAGCAGAACCGATGGTCTCTGGCCTTATATCGCACATCATATCTCAGCTGCGGTGAGTCATCCGCGCTTTTCACAATTTAGATGTTCATTATTGCAGGGCTTTATGGGGGTGACGCAAGAGTGATAGACATGTCACAAGTCTGCTGAAGCGGAGAGGCAGACATAATGGCTTTCAAAAGGCGAGGGAGAGAGAGACTGACAAAAGGAAGAAGGAAAGAAACACCCAGATAACAAACACAACTGCATCAAACGCTGCACTCCTTGGCAAATGCACTTGGCAGAAACAACGGATAAGCGTGTCTGAGAGGGCCTCTCTCTTTCCCTCTTTCATTCTCTCTCCGTGTTATTAAAATAAGGTAATTACAGACATAAATTCAGATGACATCTGGGGTGCGTTTTTTCCTCTTTCTTTTTGCAGAGGATTGTGGGTGTTTCTTTTTATTCCAAAATACATTCATACGTTCTTTTCTGTGCCACACCCTGCAGACTCTGCCAGGAACACTTTTAGTCGAGAGCCGAGATACACTGAAATAATAAAGAGACGTCTTGTTATTGCTAATAAGACAGTCTGTCTTTCTGAATGTTTAAAGGGATAGTTCAGCCAAACATTGAAATTCTGGCATCATTTGTTCACCATGTTTATTCACCCACATGGCATTCTTTCTTCCATAGAGCACAGCAGGAGAAATTGCAATAATGTGCTGTTTTCCACGTAGCAACAATGAATAGGGATCTCATGCTTCAAAAAGGGTGTAAAAGCACCATAACAGTATCATAAATGTTTTGTCAGGGGACCCCCAGGGGGCCGGAAGGGGATACTAAGGGGTCCGAATGGGTCAATTTTTTCGAAATTTAGATTTACACAGCATCTGAAAGCTGAATAAATAAGCTTTCCATTGATGTATGGTTTGTTAGGATAGGAGGACAATATTTGGCCGAGATACAACTATTTGAAAATCTGGAATCTGAGGGTGCAAAAAAAAAATACAAATATTGAGAAAATCACCTTTAAAGTTGTCCAAATGAAGTTCGTAGCAATGCATATTACTAATCAAAAATTAAGTTTTGATATATTTACGGTAGGACATTTACAAAATATCTTCATGGAACATGATCTTTACTTAATATCCTAATGATTTTTGGCATAAAAGAAAAATCGATAATTTTGACCCATACAATGTATTGTTGGCTATTGCTACAAATATACCCCAGCGACTTCAGACTGCTTTTGTGCTCCAGGGTCACAATTGATTAAAAGAAGTAGATAGAAAGTTATTTAAAAATAAATGCATAATAAATACATCTCACAGTAATATAGTGAGTAAAAGTAATAATGTAAATAGAAATTTTCATTAAAAAAATTTTTTTATAAAAAAAAAATCAACATATTAGAATAATTTCTGAAGGTGAAAATTCAACTTTGCCATCAAATGAATAAATTACATCTTAATATATATTAAAACAGTAAACAAAAATATGACTGATTTTTATGTATTTTTCATCAAATGAATGCAGCCTTGGAGTATGTTTCAAAAACATTAAAAAATCCCAAAATTTTGAATGGTGATTTATATACACATTATATTCCAAATCCGATTACTCAGACCAATGTTGTGAATCTAGTCAACTGATTCTTTGAAACAAATCTAAATCAGAATAATGATTTATTCATGAATCAGACATGGCTACTACTCCTGGATGCATAAATACACCATGTGGAACTGGAACAGGGCAAAATGTCAACACTTTCAGTAAATAATGTCAAAGTTTCATTCATCATGTAAAGCATGTACATCTTCAGAAGCTTTTATGAGACTTTACAAGACCCTGTTCCAAATTCGCTGCATGATAAAGAACGATCAGTACAAGACCGATCAGTTGTGTATTGCACAAATGAAAAAAAAATTTAAACGTGTTTGGAAAGAGAGTACATTTTTTTTCTAGTACTGTTTATGGATAGAGCAGTCTGAACTCATTAATGTGAAGGTAGAAAGGCTAAATATGGGTCATATAATAATAATAATGATGATAAAACCTGGAACAGAGTTTGTGTGTGACTTCCCATTTTCCACAGGCATCTGATTGTGCCAGCGCACAGCGTGTTGACTTACTGAAATAATAAGCCCAAACAGATTAGAAAACATTATTAACAGTCTAATTTTGTGTAGTCCACATGCACAAGCCCAAACATAAGACTACCTCCCACCACAACAACAGGTTTATTCCACAGATGTATTCCTCTTGCTGTGGCAACACAAATTCATTAACACATCTACGCTCGTGTCAACACCTCGTTCTCTCAAGAGGCGTTCACACTTACAGCCGGTTTATTGCTGCAGGTCACTTAGTTGCTGTATTGTTGATTGTAGTAGGCATTGCTATTGCTTGATGCTTTAACGTTGGTGGGCTGACAGTATCAATGAATAAATCAAAATCTTGGAATGCCCACGTTTTTTTATTATGCCTACGTGGGTCATATAGTATGGAATGCCAATCCTGCCATAATTAGAAATAAATAAATAAATGTATAAATAAATAAATGTGGAAAAAAATGAAAAAATACATAAATAAGGAAATACAATTATAAATAATTGCCCTTTTAATTTTCTTTGTACATTTATTTATTTATTTCTAATTATGGCAGGATTGGCATTCCATAATATAGAACCGTGAAACTGACCACAAACGTCTTCCTACTGTTTTAATAGCCAATGTTTTTTTTTTATTTAGTAATGCCATCATTAATAATACATTTTAACAGAACATTTTAAAGAATAACATTTATTTAATGCATATTAATTCACATTTTGAATTTAGTGAACATTTATTCACTCAAAAGTCACAAAACTCATTTGTTTGCTACTCATTTGCATAAAGTTCAGCTTTCTTCAACTTTGCCACATTGATGGAAACAACTTCATGTGAATTACATTATTTTATTTTTTTTACATTTTGAATTTAATGAATATTTATTTTCTCAAAATTCACTAAATAAATGACGTCTTCATTCTTATTGGTAGCTGCCGCATCCCGTTGCTTCTCATATGCATCAAGTCAAACTTTCTTCAGCTTTGACACAACACTTCATGTTGCTTCAAATCATTATTTCACATTGAAAATGATTTCCGGTTGCTGTCATTTTTTATTATGCCTACGTGGGTCATATAGTAATGCATGCCAATCCTGCCATAATTAGAAATAAATAAATAAATGTATAAATAAATAAATGTGGAAAAAAATGAAAAAATACATAAATAAGGAAATACAATTATAAATAATTGCCCTTTTAATTTTCTTTGTACATTTATTTATTTATTTCTAATTATGGCAGGATTGGCATTCCATAATATAGAACCATGAAACTGATCACAAACGTCTTCCTACTCTTTTAATAGCCAATGCTGATGCTGATATTTAGAGATCAGGATGCTTAATGACAGATAAAATAGCCATTACTATTTTTTTTTAAATTTAGTAATGCCATCATTAATAATACATTTTAACAGAACATTTTAAAGAATAAAATTTATTTAATGCATATTAATTCGCATTTTGAATTTAGTGAACATTTATTCACTCAAAAGTCCCAAAACTCATTTGTTTGCTACTCATTTGCATAAAGTTCAGCTTTCTTCAACTTTGCCACATTGATGGAAACAACTTCATGTGAATTACATTATTTTATTTTTTTTACATTTTGAATTTAATGAATATTTATTTTCTCAAAATTCACTAAATAAATGACGTCTTCATTCTTATTGGTAGCTGCCGCATCCCGTTGCTTCTCATATGCATCAAGTCAAACTTTCTTCAGCTTTGACACAACACTTCATGTTGCTTCAAATCATTATTTCACATTGAAAATGATTTCCGGTTGCTGTCAGTATGAACACCGCTTCAGGGAAACACAGTGCATTATGGGTAGAGGAGGGTTTTAAACACCAGCAATTATCTAGTTTTAGAGCTGCACTTCACAGTTTGGTGTAAAACACCTATAAAATGACTATATTAAGCGTCTGGGGTTTGCTGATTTGTTGGTAAATCATTCAAAAGAGTCCTCACATCCTCTTTTCTGCTTTTGGATCTGCTTGTCTGTCATTAATTCAGATACTAAAGTTGTGTTCCTGTTTTGGCAGGCTCCCTCCTGTTACAGACACACTTACCCAGCCCAAAGTACATGTGTTTTGGTTTAACTTTTGTTCCCTTCTTTTACATTACGACAGCTGGATCTGCTTTGGAGTGAAATTCATTTGTTGATGTTGTGGATCATTCCATAAAAAACAGACTATTAATATGCTTTAATTTTCTGCTCGGGGGAATTTGACAGTGTAGCTTTGTTTATGAGACAGGCGTTTCTGACTGAGCTTTTGTTTGTGTTATGCCGCACTTTACCCACGACCTGAGCGTCTATCATACATTTAGCAACTGAGATTTACACTGGGAGAGAGAGAAAGTGGGAATCAAAGGAACAAGTCAACGGGGTCGTTGCAAACATCTTGAGTATAAACCTACGACATGCAAGGAACACAAACAACACCAAAGGCCCCTTAACGGGGGACACATGAGCCCTGCAGCGCAACTTCATGGCATACTTTCCCATGCCGTGCATTTGCAAGGTGGCAGGCACACTGCGCTCGTCGTGCCTGAGGCCGTGTTACGACAATTGAAGCCGAGATCAATGCTTTTCACCGCCACGGCCTTCGGGGAGCGACTGCATGCTTAATTAAAGATTGAGGGAGGTGTTCTCAATAGAAACAGCATAATTAAAGTCTTTTCAGATGAGTGAAACAGCAGGAATGAACAGTGAAAAGAGCTGAATCTCTCATCCCTCGCTGGACCTGCCTTGGGTCATGAGGTGCAAAAACAGCACCTGTCTGTGATCTCCCAAAACACAAGAGGGTTCATTAACATCTGCTGCGTGGGGGAAGAAAAAACAGACATTTGCGCTTTGCTGTTGTTAATGAAAATGAAGTATTAAGAACCATTATACGTATTTCATCAGTCTGCTCAGCCATTCATGAGATAAAAGGTGTCATGATAGAGAAGAGGGAATTCATATGACCATATCTGTTTGTGCATTTGAAGGAAAAATGATGATTAAAAGATCTGCATTCGAACTGCACACACAATGATGAATCAACTATCCGTGAGGAATGCAGCCGGTTCTCTTATGACTCTCACTTGACTGTTAACCATCCCAATTATTTGGCACCAAACCGACATACTGAATATTTGCTTACTATAAAAGAGCACAGAGTGAAAGTAAACATGTCCCATCATGTTAATCTGAACATTGAGTGACCTGAATCAGTGCCAGACTGTAAAAATTACATTTTCGAAGTTGTAAATGAAACAAAGATTATTGCACTGTACCAGAAAATACCATTTCACTCTATCTAAATCAAAGTGTCATATATTCAGTGCATTAACAGCCATTTCTTTGTGAAATTAACTAGCAATTTCTGAGTGAAAATTGTATCAAAGTAAATATTTTTCGTAAATATAAACGTTAAAGGAACACTCCACTATTTTTGAAAATAGGCTAATTTTCCAACTCCCCTAGAGTTAAACAGTTGAGTTTTACTGTTTTCGAATCCATTCAGCCGATCTCCGGGTCTGGCGGTATCACTTTTAGCTGTAGCTTAGCATAGATCATTGAATCTGATTAGACCGTTAGCATCTCGCTCAAAAATGACCAAAGAGTTTCTATATTTTTCCTATTTAAAACTTGACTCTTCTGTAGTTACATCGTGTACTTACAGAAGAGTCAAGTTTTAAATAGGAAAAATATAGAAACTCTTTGGTCATTTTTGAGCGAGATGCT